TTCTCCCCTGTTTGAATGGTGGGCGCTGTGTGGCCCCTTATCAGTGTGACTGCCCATCTGGCTGGACAGGGACCCGCTGTCATACAGGTAGGCCTTCTCTCGCCATTTGTTTTCTTGTTGACTTGGCTCCGTGAGGCCCTAGAGGACAGTGGTGAGCGTGACTCAGAATCAGAGGTGGCAGGGAAACAAAATGATGCCAAAGTCACTCAGGAATCCCTCAAGATGGTCTCTTAGATGACGGTCTCAATGCTGAGCTCTGTGACTGCTTCAGAGGCACCTGTCAGGGTCGAGAACCAAAGACGGGAATCTCAGTCAGCTCAGTTGTCATCCTTCTTTGTGTCATCTGCTCTACTTTGCAGAATGTCGAGAAAACATGGGGAGGTTCAGAAGAATATTTATTTTAATCTCTATGAAACTAAATTACTAACTTCATGGTAACTATTTAGTAAGAACAAGGCTCTGAATCATTACCATTTAAGTTAAATCAAAGAGATGGTTCCTTTATAGACAGCAGTAACAATTTGTTGGTTAATTGGGGACAGACATGTCCCCTTAACCACCCTTACCTATCTCAAATATGGCCTCTACTCCTCTGTACTTTGAGGTCTTAACTGTTGGGTTACCCATCTGTCCTTGCCCCCACTAGATGACACAGTGCTTGGGGACGGGGTGTCCCTTTGTGGTCATTACATGCCAGTACCTAAAATAGCGCCTGCGTGTGATAGGCTTCTCATGTGGAAGAAACAAATCAGTCTAAAATGACAGGTTTGGACCTTCTTAAAGTCTGATATTTTTAGGTAACTATTAAAAGAAGACAACTCGCTGTATTTTTTGGTATTCATTCTAGCACTTCACTGTTTTTCTTGTAAACAATATTATACCATCTCTCTGATGGGGTAAGACATCAAGTAGAATAGGCGTGTTGGCACCCAGAGCTTGTCATAAGCTCCAGGGGCCCATATAATTTAGCTTTCAAACTAGGACATTTCTGAGAGTGAAAGGGATATAATTGACAAGTGAACTAAGGAAATGGGAGTACCACATACTGTCACAGGCAAGATCAGATGTGTCGTCCCCATACCCCCGGAACAGCCATTCATGAATGTAGAAAAAGAAACATCTACTGGAGGTTAAATGCAAAGCCCTTATTTGAAACTTTAAAAGCAATTAATAGAGTGTTTGTTTGTAACAGACCCACTTGGAGGTTTTATCTGCATTTCCCGAATTGAAGTCACTTGCAAACGCTTCTGGCCATGGCCCAGCCATCTTACTTTGCAGGCGGTGGCCCTGCTCTTCCAGGGGGTGGCCTTGCTCTTCCACGGGGAGGCACCCTTGATTCTCCCACTCTGTCCTCTGAGATTCCCAGTATCAGCACCTTTCTGTTTCTCTCTGCACAGTACCTCCCCCATCCTACTCTGTCCCCACCGTCACCAGCTCATAAAAGATCTTTTCCTTGGAATCACCATCAGATCTTCCTGTCTCTCCATTTCTAAGCTAAACATCATGACATACTCCTTTTGGTGTACCTTTTTGCCCTATTTCAGAACCTAAAATGGCTCCCTGTCGTGTCCATATCCAGCCCAAATTTTCAAGCACAAGTTCTTCTGACTTCCAAGGCTCTGCTTGGACTAGCTGCCACACACCTGGTAAAACTCAGCATTCATCCAGCCAAGCACATGCTGTCCCCTGCAGTCATGGCTTACTCATCCCCCCATGGCTCAGCACCATCCCATGGTTTCCCTCTTTCCCCTACCTCTTCAAACCTTACCCAACCTCACAAGCCCTGCCCAAATTTCCTCTTGTCTCCAAACTTGCTTTATACCACAATAAACTATTTTCTAACATCCCATTTCTATAGCTATGACACAGTTAGGTACAACCATGTAGTTTAAAGCTCCGTTGATCTATTTGTATTTCTTTTAGCTCCTTGGCTCCCTAACTGGCGTTAGCTCCCCAATGACGCTGAGCCACATAGTGCTCCTTTCCTGAGCGGCTGCCTCAGCACACATCCCGCTCACACATCCTATATACTAAGCATACTGCTGCGTATGATACGGGAGCTCCTGCTCTCCAGAATTTAATCTAGAAAACCAGAATGGCCTATAAGCAGATAACTAGAGGCTAGCCAAATTCTCTGAAAGGGGTCATGACAACAGTGAGGGTAGGTACATTAGCCAAGTGGAGACATTCCGAAGTCTTCATAAGCATAGAATCAGAAGAGCAAAAGTAGCCACCAGGGGAAGATCATTCTACTCAAGGGCACGGAAGCATAACACAGGTGTGTTCTGCATAGGAGAACTGAAGCCATAAAGGGAATGTAGGGGTGTGACTGGAAATGAAGCCATCAGGATGGGCAGAGCCAGAGAAGGACACGCACTGTGTGCCAGGTTCAAGGTTCTGGATTATGTCCTGTGAGCAACAGAAGCCATGGAAGGATTTTAAGCAAGAAAATCACATGTTGAGATTTTCTTTTAGAAAGTGATTGTGGCGGCAGTATGGAAAATGGCAGAAAGCAAGATTTACAATTGGGAGTCCATTTAGGAAGTTAACAAAACAGAATTGGCAAGATGTAATGAAGTCTGGAAAAATGTTAACTGAGAAGGGGGGTGGGTTGAGAGAAGTTGAGGAGGTGACTTGCTACTTGGCTATAGATGTATTAAGGGAGTCAAAGTCTGAGATGAATCGAGATCGATACATGTTTTGGGCCCCTGAGGGGAAGGTGCTGCCATTTACTGAGATAGAGAACCCAAGAGGAGTATATTTGAAGGTACGGATGAGGAGTTACGTTTGTACGTGCTGAGTTCGAGGACCCTGTGAAACATACAAGGGAGAGGTCTGATAGGCAGTCGAATGATGGTTTGGGTTCCCAGAAGATACATCTAGATTGAAGATAGCAATATATAAGTCATCACTGGGAAACATTCATGGAGAAAAACATAAGAGCATACAGAAATCACATGGCATGAAAAGGTAGCCCAAAATGGAACATTGGGGGCATGCCTGTTATAGGGAAGAGGAGGTTTTAAGCTGTTAGGCAAGTAAGTGAAATGAATTTGTTAGTACAGTCGGAAACCACTAAATCATCATGCTACTGAAAGGAGTGGGGCACCTGGATGACTCAGTCAGTTGAGCATCGGACTCTTGATTTCAGCTCAGGTCATGATGTCAGGGTTGTACGATCGAGCCCCACATCAGGCTCTGCACTCAACATGGAGAGTGCTTGAGAGTCTCTCTCCCTTGCCCTCTGCCCCTCCCCCGACTCATGCATCCTCTCTCTCTAAAATGAGTAAATAAGTCTTTTTAAAAAAGGGAAGGAAAAGGAGCGATTTTTTTATTAATGAGCAGAATCTGTAGAGAGTTGGTTTTTAATGATTGGGTTTTATTTTTGCTATTTTTAATCCTGGGCTTTGTTTCATAATTCCCTCTTTATTGTGTGGCAGATACATGCATCTGTTGGCCCACTCCCACTCTTTACCTCCCCACGGGAGCTCCCCAAGGGTGAGGACAGGGTTGGTTTTTTTTCCTGCCCAGTGCTTGCTTGTCAGGCTGGATGAACTATTAAAGAAATGACATTTACTTCTATCTCACCGAAGATGAGTTTTTCATCTGGGAAACCTACTTTTCCATGCAATAATGAGGCTGAAACGTTTCTGATTTCCAGCCTTCTTTCAACAGAAATTTTATTTTCTTCCTCAAGGAAGTTCTTCTTTTTCTTTGCTATGTTAAACTTGTGGGTGTTAGGTCTTCATTGGCTTTTAGTATCCGCAAGTTTTTTAACAGGTAGGTACATGCAGTTGAAGAGTGTGGTTATGACACCATGCATTTGTGGGAAAGATGCCTAGATAATAAACCTTTGGGTGTTCACTTGGGGCTTTATCTGTGGCTAACTTTTAATTCTATCCCAGGTTCTATAATTCCAGTTAAAGATGGTAAAAGCCATGAAATGTGTTTGCTAGCAAATATAAAGAACTTCTGAATCATCTCCTATTTTTATTTGTTTTGCTTTTTGTTATTTTAGATAATCTATATGTCTGATTGCTTATCTTAAGAATTGCTGTCTGGGGACGCCTGGATGGCTCAGTGGGTTAAGCGGCTGCCTTTCGCTCGGGTCATGATCCCAGCATCCTGAGATTGAGTCCCACATCGGGTTCTTTGCTTGGCAGGGAGCCTGCTTCTCCCTCTGCCTCTGCTTGTGCACTCTCTCTCTCTGACAAATAAATAAATGAAATCTTTAAAAAATAAATAAATAAAATCTTAAAAAAAAAAGAGTTGGTGTCTGATATAATGACTCAATCAGTCATAGAATTCACTGCTAGTTCTCGAAAGTGAGATAGTCTAATTGAGCATCTGAAATATTTGCAGTTCAAAACCGTATGTGTCAGATTGGTCACGTAAAGAATAAATGAGAAAAATCATTGGACTTAATGTTATCAGCAAAGGTTTCAATACACAGGTGTAGGACTTAGCCTGGAGCTTAAATATGGGAATGGACTGGCGTGGAGGGAAAAAGGGAAAGGGTGGTGTCCCGTAATGACATGCGGTCAAACAAAGTGGCAGAAATGTATAATGCAGATAGCCGGTGGGGTGCAGCAGTGGCTAGAGCAGAAAGCACAGTGAGATCTTACTCTGTGTATGTTTGCCGAACATTTTCCAACTTGCTAAGTATTAATTAAATAAATGCATGAACTTTTCATCCCAGCTGTTTGCCAGTCTCCCTGCTTAAATGGTGGAAAATGTGTAAGACCAAACCGGTGTCATTGTCTCTCAGCTTGGACAGGACATGACTGCTCCAGGTAAGTTAATTAAAAATGAATATTTATCTACAACACAAAGAGGTCAAAACTCAAGGGACGTTTGTCCCAAGAGCCAGAAGGTAACTCTGGTTTAAGAATCCTTTTACATCCAAAAATGTCCATCTTCAGATACTCTCGAAATGTGAACCAGAGCCAACACAAAGAAGTATTAGTTAAGAAAACAATATCTCAAAAATAAATAATCCTTTGCTCACTTTGGCAGTATGTAAACTAAAATTTGAACAATGCAGAGAAGGTTAGCATGGCTCCTTTAAAAGGATGACATGCAAATTCATGAAACATTCCATATTTTTCCACAAAGAAAGGTTTAATTAAACAAATAAATTAACTGCCCTCTTGAACAGAAGATTGCATCATTCATATGTAAGGATGTAAAATAAATAATAAACTCAATACATTGTATTGATGTTCACTTGCATTCCTGATTACAGTAGAAAATGGTATGGAAATTGATAAGAAATGTTTGTTTTTAAAGTCAAAAATCTTGTCTCATATTTCTAGTGTATGTATGTGCAGTGTTTAATTGACTAAAAAAATTTATGTAAAAATATGTCTGTCAGTTGGTTTCTCATTTCTAACCAGATAAATATCATAGTTGAGAAAAGATTATCACAAAAATAACTCTAAGGGAAAATGATTAAATATAATTTAAACTATTTTTTACTGAAGTATATTTGACATCCAGTATATTAGTTTCAGGTATACAGCATAATGATTTGATATATATATATAGATTGCAAAATGATTATTACAATAGATCTAATTAGCCTCCATCACCACACATTTACAAAATGTTTTTCTCCTGATAAGAACTTATAAGATTTACTCTCTTAGCAGCTTTCAAATATGCAATTCAGTGTTGTTAACTGTAGTCACCATGCTATACGTGACATCCCTGTGACTTCGTTATTTTATAACTGGAACTTTGTACCTTTTGACTCCTTTTTCACATTTCTCCCACCCGCACTCCCTGCTTCTGGCAACCACCAGTCTGTTCTCTGTACCTATGAGGGGGTTTTTTTGGTTGGCTGGTTATTTTGAGTAAGACCATATAGTATTTGTCTTTCTCTGTCCAACTTATTTCCCTTAGCATAATGCCGTCGGGGCCATCCACGTTGTAAATAGCAAGATTACATTTGTTTTAATGGCTGAATAATATTTCTGTGCGTGTGTGTGTGTGTGTGTGTGTGTGTGTCACATTTTCCTGATCTGTTCATCCATCAGTGGACCCTTAGGTTGTTTTCACATCTTGGCTATTGTAAATAATGTTGCAGTGAACATGGTGGTACAGATATCTTTTCAAATTAGTATTTTCATTTTCTTCAGAGAAATACACAGACGTAGAAGAACTCCTGGGCTGTATGGCAGTTCTATTTTTAATTTTTTTGTTTTTTGAGGAACCTCTGTACTGTTTTGCATAGTGGCAGTACTGATTTCCATTCCCACCAACAGTGCATTAATGTTTTCTTTTCTCCACATTCTTGCCGAAATTTGTTATTTCTTATCTTTTCGATAATAGCCATCCCAACAGGTGTGAGGTGATACCTCAGTGTGGTTTTGATTTCTATCTCCCTGATGCCTGAGGATGTCTGTTGGCCATCTGGATGTCATCTTTGGAAGAATGTCTATTCAAATCCTCTGCCTGTTTTTTAATCTAATTGCTTGGGTTGTTTTTTGGTTTGGTCTTGGGTTTTTGGTTTTTGGGTTTTGTTTGTTTTTGTTGGTTTTTGCTATTGGGTTGTATAAACTCTTTCTGTATTTTGGATAGTAATCCCCTATCAGATCTATGATCCCATTCAGTAGGCTGCCTTTTCATCTTGTTGTTGGTTTCCTTTGCTGTGCAGAAGCTTTTAGTTTGATGTAGACCCACTTGTTGATTTTTGCTTTTGTTGCCTTTGCTTTTGCTGTCAAGTCCAAAAAATTCATCACCAAGACCAATGTTAAGGAGCTTGCCACCTATGTTTTCTTCTAGGAGTCTTATGGTTTCAACTCTTATATTTAAGTCTTTAATCCATTTTGGGTTAATTTTTATGTATGATTAAGAATGTGGGGGACACCTGGGTGGCTCAGTCAGTTAAGCGTCTGCTTTCGTCTGCTCAGGTCATGTTCCCCAAAGTCCTGGGATCGAGCCCCACATCAGACTCCCTGCTCAGTGGGAGTGCTCCCTCTCACTCTGCCTGCCGCTCCCCCTGCTTGTGCTCTCTCTTTCTGTCAAATAAATAAATAAAATCTTAAAAAAAAAAAGTGGTCCAGTTTCATCCTTTTTCATGTGTCTGTCCAGTTTTCCCAACACCATTTGTTGAAGAGATTATACTTTCCTCAGTGTATATTCTTGGCTCTTTTGTCATAAATTAATTGACCATCTATGCATAGGATTTTCCTGAGCTCTTTATTCTGTTTCATTGATCTATGTGTCTGTTTTTATGGCAACACCATACTGTTTTGATTACCATAGCTTTTGATATAATTTGAAATCAGAGAACATGACACCTCTAGCTTTTTTCTTCTCTCTCAAGATTTAAGCTTTTTTAAATTTCAGGAATTGTCAGACACACTGCACCATGCAGTGGATAAAGTATTTTCAATACTGTAGCACTGTCTTCACAAACATTGAAATGGTGGAATATTACCAGCTCTATTTTAAGACTTCAGTATATATTATTGTATTACATCACTTAAAATTATATTATGTCTATTTACTTCCATTTTATAGTAATCATTAAAAACAAATGGATATTTTCATATTCACCTTAAAAAGCAGGAAATTCAGTTAACTGAAAACAACTTTAATTTTTCCATTTCCTTTTATTTCATCATGATTAGAAACTTGCAAAGGCAAAAATTTAAGTACAAATTTCATTTTTAAAAAATCAGTCTTGGTGCCAAGTGCCTTGAAGATGAATTTCTTCACATCATCCCATGTATATGCCATCTTTGCAGAGAGAAAACATAAATTAAACCCCAAAGAGCGAATTTGGATTGTATATGTAGAAGCTTCCAAGATAAAAATAATAGTTTTATGTGAAAGCAGAGTTGAAAGAATTTAAGAGAATGAAAATCAAACTGGAATGGATTTCTGGGGAAAAAAGAAAAGAAGAGAGAGAGAGAAAAAAAAAGATTAAAGGAATAAGAGTGGAAATGACTAAAAAAGGAACAGGAAATATAACATCCTTATAATTTTAGACTTTGTATTTCAACTCTTTCATCTTTTAGATAAGAAAAGGATACCCAGAGTTGTTTGTGTGATTCCCTAATATCAAAATACTCCCATAAGAGATCTTTCTCAACTAGGGGAAGAATAATTATTAGCTTTTGTGAAAATATATTAATAAAGAAAAAAATCTAGATATTCTTATGCAAAAGTTTAATAAAGGAATCTGAATGTATATATTCAGCAATCAGCAAAATAAACTACAAGGCATATCCCACATTCAAGGAAAGGTTATCTTCAACCCAGATGATTGGGCCAGCTCCTGCCTCCTTGTACTGTGATGGATTATTCTAGGAGAAACTACTAGTTAGGACTCTCTTACCACAACTCTAACTAGCTTAATTAAAGAAAGGAATATGTTGTCACAAGAGAAGGACCTTCATAGAACCCAAAGACATGAGGCAGCTAAGCATTAGTAGACCAGACTGAGGACTGGAAAGCCACGTACAGCCTCTCTACCTCTGGTCTCCCCTCCTCTCTCCAGTGCCCACTCCATCCTCTGTAGTGTGGTTTTCTCTGTTGTTCAGTTCAAGTGGAAGGACAGAACTGCTTAGAGCTTCCGCATTTTACATGTCATGCTACATCAGCCACAGAAATGTATGCTGACCCAGTTTAAAAATCCAGAAGAAGAACTGACTACTCAGATCCAGTCATGGGCCCACCACGGATCGGTGAACCATAGTCCTAAGTTGAGTTATGTTGTACTAACGGAAAGAGTCATTTTGTCAAAATCTTCACTTTACTCTTGGGTAAAGGGGAGAGGAGGCTGACAATTCCCAGAAGAAGAAAGAAACATGTAGTAGGATTCCCGAATTGGGAAGAGGAGAAAGCTTTTCTGAGAAATCAAAACAGTAAATGTTTCCAAACACTTTTTTTTTTTAAATTCCTTCTCTCCAGCAAGATTGAGTGCCTTGAAGATTGTCTCCCTCGTACTTATTCCAGGCGCGCACACACACACACACACACACACACACAAATGCTCAGTAAAGCTTGTTCACAGATGGAGCCATTTCCAGGCATCAGTGATAGCAGGCCAAGAAACGCTCTGTGGTATCCATTAAATTCCTCAACCTATAACCTTCTCTGCTGATGACTAAGACGGACCTGCTATTATTCCCAGTTAGTTCTGTCCTTAAGAAAGAGAGTGTATTTCCCCTGATCTCTATGGGCATCTTCAGGAAATCGATCTTAAATAAATGGCATAAGTAAAAACCCTAAAGTGTCAATGCTGTAAGGGACCTTCAGGTTCACGAAGACCAAACTCATCGTTTTACAGATAAGAGGATAACCAGATAGGAGACTGGCAGCAGAGCCAGGATCAAAACTCAGGTTCTGCTGATTCCCAGATCTTTTCCTAAGGTTGGCCCGTGTTCTTTCAAGGGATGACCCCCATCCGTACAAACGATGTCACGGAGGATGCCCGTGGCATCTGAGACTTTCAGTCCCGTTTTCATCGGCCCCTAAGCTTTTTACCTCTTCGCTTCAGTTCTTCTGTTGAATCTCTTTGTTTTTTGTTCCAGGAAAAGGAGGCCTGGGTTTTAACCACTGCACAACCAACCAGCTCTCCTAAAAGCAGGATCATCTCTTCCTGGTAGTCCTGGGCATCCTGGAACTTATGCAAAGAAATTCCAACACGGTGCTGGGTCTTGTTTTGTTTTGTAAACTTGTTATTTGGGGTTTACCTTTGTATTTTGTCTTCTATTTTGTTATTCTTTGTGACATACTTTCTTACATGTTTCCATTTTTAAATATGCTCGTATTTTCGATATAAAGGTATATTAAATAGATGCTGCTCCACTCACAAAATGTACATACTCTGCTGTCTGCTGGGGGAGTTCCTGCTACACGTTTCTCTTCGGTTACTTAAAATGATTTTTCAATTAAAATCTATTTTGCTATTAAATAATATTTGGTTGGGTAGTGCCATTTTGTGAGATGTCCCAGAAATGATGAAGAGGATAATGATCTTTCATCCATGCTGGCCCAATACAGGATCACGTGCAGTGTATCGAGAAATCACAGTACAGAACACCCCTTGTTCTAGTTCCATCTTCTTCACAGTATGCAGAATCAAAAAGGTTT